CGTCGGGGCTCCGTGGGTCCCCGAGCCGCCCCTGGCGGGACCATGGCGGGCGCCAGGCCGGGCGTCCACGCGCTGCAGTTGGAGCCGCCCACCGTCTTGGAGACCCTGCGGCGCGGGAGTAAGTTCATCAAATGGGACGAGGTGAGTGCGGCTGTCCCTGCTCTGCCCAGATTTGGGTGGGGGGAGCTCCTTCATCCACACTTGGCCGGATGCCGGGGACCCCCCCCCACTTCAGCCTCGCTTGATGACTGCGCCCCCATCCCAGCCTTGCTGCACCCCGGAAACTTGAGTCCCCTGTCGTCTCGGTAATTGAGCTCTGGTAAACTGCGATTTCCAGTCCTTAGAGTGGAGACTTTGAACCCCAATAAATCCTGCGCCTCTTTTCACTCTCCCCCTCTCTTGCCAGACTAATTCTGGTTCTTTGGTCCCGCTCTGGTCCCCAGACCCCTGCTCCCCACACAGGACTCCCAGGCGGCGTAGGGCGTTCCGGTCCTGGGTGGGTGCCCCTGGGACCCCACTCTTCCCAGTGTCTCATCTCAGCGGTTCTCATCCATTCATCACTTTTCACCCTCTCCCTGTTGACATCTCTTTGCCCTGCCTTCTGGATACCAGGGAGCTTTCTGTCCAGGTGGAAAGCACCAAGTCACCCCCTAGTGGATACTTTGCCCCCCAATTCCTAAAACTCCGGGAACTTTGCTCCCCACTCCTTACCTTCGAGACTTTGAGCCCCCCATAAATCCCATCCCCTATTTTTTTTTTTAATCTGCTTTTCCCCAGGAGTTTCCTTAGATGTCCACCTGCGGCTTGCCATTCCTAACCTATGTCCCACCTATGTTTCACACCCTCTCCTACCCCCATGGGCCCCTCCTTCCCTGGGACCTTCACCCGGGCGGCCTGGGCTTCCTTGCTATTCCTTCCCAGTCAGGCCATGGGCCTGGAAGACTCTAGGTTTCTTTCCGGCTGGGTGGGGCAGGAGCGGGAGCTGAGGGGAGGGGCTGGGGGCGTGGCCTGAGTGGCAGGTGTGCTGGGTGAGGGGTGCCTGGGCACCCCTTGGGGCCCCCAGAGACCCTTCCCCCCAGGCCAGCCTGAGAGGAAAAGTTTCTTTTTTTCCTTCTAGTGTGATAAACCCAAATAAGGAAGTGGGAACAGGGAGAGGGCCTGGGGTGGGGTAGGGGTGCTGAACATGGTTTGGGGCTGGAGAGCAGGGGGCCCAGGTAGCCTTTAGAGGCTAGACCCCTGGGGAGGGGCCCACAGGTGCTCTGGGGGGCAGTACCTTCAGATCCCCCTCCCACTGCTGGGGGACTCAGGCTCAGGGCAGGATTGAGGATCTCTTGAAGGGAGTGGGGCCCAGTGTCTTCTCACTGGAGTGGAAATCCATGCATCCCACAGGTTTAGGGGCATGTGGCCCCAGATCCGCTGCCAAGACTGCACTGGGTGGGGCTGTGTAATCCCTACTCTCCCAAGGAGGCAACTGAGGACTGGCAGGAGAGGCTGAGCACAGGCCACGCTGTGAGGTTGTGGCTGAGCCCAGGATCCAGGAGTCCTACAAGGGTCTCTGCTTCCTGCTTCCCAGGTCACAGGGCTTTGCCAAGTGTACCTCCAACAAATCCTGGCTTCTCAGTTTCCTCCTGTGTAAAATGAGGGTGACAGCAATACATACTTCACAGGGTTGTGGGGAGTCTGAAAGGGGCTGGTTGACATCCAGTGTATAGAACTGTCCTTGGTTCACAGTTAAGGCCATGGACTGCATGCTGTTATATACATATATGCAGAATTGGTTAGACTGTGAGCAGCAGTTGGGCCTGGAGGGGGGTAGGGGTGGGGGGGTCCTCTTTTGGCTGGAGGGGAGTTCCTCCTGTGGGCCAGAGGCTAAGCCCTTGACACCCGTTGGCTGCTGGTCCTGAGCTCATGGAGTAGTCCTTAGCATATACCAGTGACTGGATCCTCCTTGGAAAATGGAGTGTATCCCTGCTTCCTGGCCACTGCCAATCTTGGGGATATTAGGGGGAAGATGGAGCTCCTTGCCTAGTTCTCCCAGGGGCCCTCTTCTGTAAGATGGAGTGAGCCTGGAGGCTGGGAGGATCCCAGGAGGTACAATGTGACTTCAAGGCAGATTTTGGGGTGACTGGTTACTATGGGGCCCCAAGGGAGATAGAAGAAGCTTTAGGGTCAGACTTCTAAGCCCCCTGCTTTCATTCTGTAGTGCACTCAACTAAGGAGGCTGCAGGCTGGGATTCCCGTATCTCTGAACTCTTAGACCCTCTGGGGAAACTGAGGCCAGAATAGGTTTGGGGAGCAGAGGCTTCATGGATGGAGAAGGAACAGTGTGACAAATGCTGGAAGATGGGACAGGGTAGCTAATAGCCTATGTGATCCAATCTTAGGGCAGCCATGAGGCCAGGAGGGGTGTTGGGGACCAAACATCAAACTTCTCACTGAGGACTTTGGCTTCAACTTAAGGAGCACCTGTTGGCCGGATGAGGCTTCCTCTTGGCTCATCACAGAAACCCTGATGTGGACAGCTAAAGCCAGTCCAGGCTTCAAGCCTGCCACAACCCTTACTCCCTGACCTTTGTCCTCCTGTGCTGTCCTCAGGAGGCCTCCAGTCGGAACCTAGTGACCCTGCGTGTGGACCCCAATGGCTTCTTCTTGTACTGGACAGGACCTAACATGGTAAGGGCAGTGCTGGTGCCCCTTGCTCGGGCCTAGGCCCTGCTGGAGCCCCCTGCCCGGCTCCCCTGTTCTGGCGGTGGGGCCAGCTACTGGCTGACCTCTCCCACGCCTCCCCAAACAGGAAGTGCTATGGGCGGGAGCTGAGGCTGGGGCTCCAGCCAGGGGGTGGCCACTCCCAGCCTGGATGGGGAGCTTAGGGCCCCCCCACCATACTTCTCAGACTCACAAACTTTGGCTCTGGTTTCCACAGGAGGTGGACACATTGGACATCAGCTCCATCAGGGACACACGGACAGGCCGTTATGCCCGTATGCCTAAGGTGAGGGATGAGACCTCATACTGAAGGGGACAAAGCTGTGGGCGGACAGGATACCCCTCTTCCTCATCCTTGGCTCTCACTACCCAGGACCCCAAGATTCGAGAAGTACTGGGCTTTGGGGGCCCTGATGCCCGGCTGGAGGAGAAGCTGATGACTGTGGTGGCTGGGCCAGACCCAGTAAACACCACGTTCTTGAACTTCATGGCCGTGCAAGATGACACAGTCAAGGTGGGCTGGGGCAAAGGGATAACCCAGGAGAGCAGATGGTTCTTTGAGAGATACTATATAGCCCAGGCTGGCCTGGCACTATAAGCAGTCCTCCTCTATACTGCAGTCTTCCAAGTGCTGTTATTACAGCTGTGAGCCACCATCCTCAGCTTTGTTCTCTTGACATTTTATGCACCAGCTACTGTTCTGTGTAGCTGAACACAGCCCCCCTGTGGCTGGGCCAGGCCCTAGGTCTCCCTCACCTCTCCTCCTGTGTGCTAACCCCCAGGTTTGGTCAGAGGAGTTGTTCAAGCTAGCTATGAACATACTGGCTCAGAATGCCTCCCGAAACACCTTCCTGCGGAAAGCGTGAGCCCTGGGCCACCCTGGGGAGCACTGGGGGTTCAGGTGACCAATCCCAAGATGTGACTCTTGTACCTGCCTCCCCAGATACACAAAGCTGAAGTTGCAGGTGAACCAGGATGGACGGATTCCGGTCAAGAAGTGAGCACCCTTTTTCCCTCAGCATCTCCTCCTTTCCTGCCCTGACCTTGGTGACCTTTGCCCCTCACTGACCCTGACCCCTCCCACCTGCATCAGCATTCTGAAGATGTTCTCAGCCGACAAGAAGCGGGTGGAGACTGCGCTAGAGTCCTGTGGCCTCAAATTCAACCGGGTGTGTGGGCTAGGGGCCAGGGTGAGGGTGTGGCAGGGTGGGATGTTGGTGGGTGCCCACTTTCTGGAACAGGCTGCCTCAGGTTCTCACCCAACACTCCTCACCCCCAGAGTGAGTCCATCCGGCCAGATGAGTTTTCCTTGGAAATCTTTGAGCGGTTCCTGAACAAGCTGTGTCTGCGACCGGACATTGACAAGATCCTGCTGGAGATGTGAGCGGGCGGGGCAGGCCTCCCTCCGGCTAGGCTCTGCCTCTGGCCTCTGCTCAGTGTTCTCTGATCCAATGAGAAGGGATGCTGGTGGGCAGGTCCCAGGGTGCCAGAGTAAGGAAGGGGGACCTGCCCAGAATGTGCCCCTCTGCTGTCCGGAGCTCTGCTGCCAGCTCTGTGCCATTCCTTTGCTGTGGAGTGGCTTAATCAGCCTGCTGAGGATGGGAACCAAGAGGCTCAGACATGTTGAGGGAGCTGCTGAGCCCCCGGGGCACTGGAGGCTGGAGCCAAGATTGGTTCTGGGGTCTAGAAACACCGAGTGCTGGGTGGCCTTAGGCAGCTTCCAAAGCCTTTGTGAATGCCGATGTTGCCTGACAGTGCTGAATGTTCAGGAGAGCGGAGAGGGAAACAGCCCCAGAATATCAATCTGTGGCTGCTGAAGCTAGGCGAGGTTCTTTCTCCTCCCTCTCCCAGGGTGAGGGCTTGGCATGGGGTAGGGGCTAAGGCTGTGGCCTAACCCAGCTTCCGGACCCCTCCAGAGGCGCCAAGGGCAAACCTTACCTGACACTAGAACAGCTCATGGACTTCATCAACCAGAAACAAAGAGACCCGAGACTCAACGAGGTGCTGTACCCACCCTTGCGGCCCTCACAGGCCAGGCTGCTCATTGAAAAGTATGAGCCTAACCAGCAGTTCCTAGAGCGAGGTGAGTGAGCAGCTAGTGGCAGCGTGGGGCAGAGTGGGTGGGAAGGCTGGCTTGTCCTCTGTGGTTTCATTCTTACACCAGCAGTTCCTAGAGCGAGGTGAGTGAGCAGCTAGTGGCAGCGTGGGGCAGAGTGGGTGGGACAGGCTGGGCCTAGCTGACCTGTTGGCGCCCCATCCCCAGACCAGATGTCCATGGAGGGCTTCAGCCGCTACCTGGGAGGGGAGGAGAACGGCATCCTGCCCCTGGAGGCCCTGGATCTAAGCATGGACATGACGCAACCATTGAGCTCGTACTTCATCAACTCTTCACACAACACCTATCTCACTGGTGAGCGAGCAGGAGCAGTGGTACCCACACCCTCCCTCACACGGCTTCCCTTTTAGGGGAGCATATCTTTCAACTTGCTAATTCATGGGCTGATACTGGGGAGGGGGCAGGGAACAGCTAACCTGCCCGCCCCAGAGCCAATGTCTCTGTGGCTAATGGGTGGTCATCTTCCCCAAGTGTCTTGGGGGAAGGCCTGAGCCAAGGTTGCTTGAATTGTGGAAGAACGGTCTATGCAGATGCCTGGCCTAGAGACTGGATGTTTTAAAAGAAAGCGCTGGGTAGCTCAGTGGTAGAGCATTTGCCCGTCATGTGTTTGACCCTAGGAGAATGGGACAGATGGAACATGGGCTAGGGGTAGGTGCACAGTGGATGATGGCTGGTGGGAAAAAACTAGGAGAAGGAGGTAGGGCCAGCCCTAGTCTGGAAGCTTCTGAACTCATTGTGACTAGGAGAGAGGCCCTATGGAAGGTTTGAAGCAAGGCGTGGTGCTGGGGCCTGGCAGGTTGTCTGAAAGCTGATACCAGGTATTCTCTGGAGGTTGGGTTGGAAGCAGGGAGGGTCTGTGGTTCCCCAAGGCAGGATCTGGTGAGGTTGATGCAGGGTAGAGGTGGGTGGCAGAGGTGGACATGGGAGACACTTGTCCTTGAGGGTTGTGGAGGGTATCTGGGGGACTCTGATGGTTCAGGCTAGTGGGGTGGTGCTGGGAGTGTTTATGCAAAAGAACGTGAACCCTATAAGATGAATCATCCAGGGCTGCTAATGCTATGTCCTCACCTAGTGGGGAGACCAGTGACAGGAGGTCAGGATTCGGGCCCAGCCCTGAGGGCTTCTAGGGTAGATGGCACTGGCTCCACAGTGAGTGGAGGAGTGACAGGCTGGCCAGAGTGTGCCATGCTGGACTGGACGTGCAGGGTCCTCTGTGTTCCCAGCATGGGCTGGTTCCACATGGAACAGGGTGGCCAGTGGGTGGTGACCAGCCTTATTCATAGCTGGGCAGCTGGCCGGGACGTCGTCGGTGGAGATATACCGCCAGGTGCTGCTGTGGGGTTGCCGCTGTGTGGAGCTGGATGTGTGGAAGGGACGGCCACCTGAGGAAGAGCCCTTCATCACCCACGGCTTCACCATGACCACTGAGGTGCCCCTGCGTGATGTGCTAGAGGCCATTGCTGAGAGCGCCTTCAAAACCTCACCCTACCCTGTCATCCTCTCCTTCGAGAACCATGTGGACTCGTGAGTGGGCCTGTTCTGGGAGTCTCAAATATGGAGCCCTCTTATGGGGGGACTCTGAGATGGACCCAAATGCATCCCTGTACAGTGCTTTCATGACCTGCGGCCAGGGGATGCCCACCCACTCTATGGACCTCTTATTTGTCCTGCCTCAGTTTCCCCCATAACCTCTGACCTCATCCCCACAGGGCAAAGCAGCAAGCCAAGATGGCTGAGTACTGCCGCTCTATTTTTGGAGATGCACTGCTCATCGACCCACTGGACAAGTACCCGGTATGGGGGCTGGGAGCTGAGGCAGGGCATGTGGGGGTGAAAGGTGACTGAACAGGTCCTGACCTGCCCATACCGCCTAGCTGTCTGCGGGCGTCCCCTTACCCAGCCCGCAGGACCTGATGGGCCGCATCCTGGTGAAGAACAAGAAGCGACATCAACCCAGCACAGGTGTCCCTGACAGCTCAGTGCGCAAGCGGCCCCTGGAACAGAGCAACTCGGCTCTGAGTGAGAGTTCTGCTGCCACTGAGCCCTCCTCACCCCAGCTTGGTACGATCTGATCTGGCCTCTGGTCCTGACCCTAACCCTGACTTAACCTCTCACCCCAGTCCCTGACCTCCTTCCTTACCACCTCTCAGCTGGGTGGTGACCTCTCAGCCCTGACCCCTGACCTGTCACTGCTGCCCCAAGCAGGGGTACGGCTTTGATTCTGAGCTCAGTGAACCTCTCCCCTCAGGCTCCTGATGCTTGTCCTGCTGCAACCTTCCTGACTCCACTCACATAGCCACTTAAAATTTCCGATAACCTTTACCCTGTCACTTTATTGAGGTCCCTCGTCACCTGACCCCTAATTGCTCACCCCAGTAAGTCCCCCATTGGTAAAGCTCTGATGAGCCCAATTGGCTGCCCAGTCTGTCTTCATTCCTGACCTCTCATCCATTCTTGGGCCACCCTACCTGCCCCTGCCTCCCTGTATATAATTCTGACCATGGCCCCTCTGAACTACTGCCAGCTTTAATGCCATCCATCCCCTGAACCTGTCCCCTCTCCCCAAGCTGTCCTTCTCTAAGAGGGCACCCTGACTTCCCCACGGAGTCATCTCCATACAAACTGGACACAACTTCATCTCTGACCCTTGACCTCTGTGCAGGGTCCCCCAGCTCTGACAGCTGCCCAGGCCTGAGCAATGGGGAAGAGGTGGGGCATGAGAAACCTAGCTTGGAGCCCCAGAAGTCTCTGGGTGAGGATCGAGGCCCTGATGTTCTCATGCCTACTGACCGAGAGGATGAGGAGGAAGACGAAGAAGAGGAGGAAACAACAGATCCCAAAAAGCCCACCACGGATGAGGTCAGGCTCTTAGGTGGGCAGATGGGGGAGGCTCACTGAGTGCTTGCTGGGTATCAGTCATGGCCCCCTCCTGGAGCTTGGTGTGTGTAGGTCAGGTGTGCAAGTGAATGTACAAGAGTTAGATGCAGCGTCAGCAAGATAGTCAGCCAGTGAAAGCATTTGTGCACAAGCCTGATGACCTGAGTTTGATCCCCATGACCCATATGGTGGAAGGAGAGAACCAACTCCCAGAGGTTGTCCCCTGACTGCCACTCACGTATCCTAGTGCACAAACATACACAAAATAAAGGTAAAAAAGAGTGAGGAGGCCGGGCGTGGTGGTATGTGCCTTTAATCCCAGCACTTGGGAGGCAGAGGCAGGTGGATCTCTGTGAGTTCGAGGCCAGCCTAGTTTACCTAGTGAGCTCCAGGACAGCTGGGGCTACAGGGAGACCCTATCTCAAAAAGACCAAAAAAAAAAAAAAGAAAAAAAAAGAGGGTACAGGGCTGACAAGATGGTTCAGAGGAGAAAAGCACTTACCACATAGGCCTGGTGACCTGAATTTGATTCCTGGAACCCAAGGTAGAAGGAGAGAGCTGGCTTCCAAAAGTTGTCCTCTGACCAACATGTGTGTATTGTGGCATGCATTAAAAATTAAAAAATGAGGAGCTGGAGAGATGGCTTAATAGTTAAGAACATTGGTTGTTCTTGCAGAAGACCCGGGTTCAAATCCCAGCACCCACATGCCAGCTGATAACTGTCCATAACTCCAGTCCCAGGGGATCCGACAGCCTCTTCTGACCTCCGTGGGCATTGCACGACATGGATGCACTTACCTCCATGCAGGCAATACACGCATACACATAAATTTTTAAAAAAAATAAGTAAAAAAAGTTTAAAAAAAGTTAAAAAATGTATTAGAGGTCAGTCTGTTCTACAGAGCAAGTTCCAGGATAGTCAGGGCTATATAGTGAAACCCTGTCTAAAATATAAAATTTAAAGAAAAGACGGTCTAGAATTGCATTGTGGAGTGTAGAGGAAGGAGACTCTGACCTGGGCAGGGAGGCTGGGGCAGACAGATTTGAATGAAAATAGTATGTGCCAAGCAAAGCCCTCTGGTAGAGTCAGCGTTTGGGAGGAGACACAAATGGAAGGTGGGGGAGTACCAAGGGGAATGGGGAGTGGAGGTGACAGCAACAGTCACTGTGCCTGTGGTAGAGCAGATTCAGGAGGGGCCCCGGAGCTGGGGAGGGCATGTGGTATGGGCAGGGCAGTCAGAGCCTTCCATCAAAGTGGTGCATGTAAGCATCTGGCAGGAAGCCAGTGGGTAGTGTGGGAATGGGGTTAGCACCCCCTTTGTGGGGAGTGGGCAAGTGTGGGAACATCTGGTACTGCTGACCCTGGGTTTGGGGGCCACAGGGTACAGCCAGCAGTGAGGTCAACGCCACTGAGGAGATGTCGACACTTGTCAACTACATTGAGCCTGTCAAGTTCAAGTCCTTTGAGGCTGCTCGAAGTGAGTGGGGCTGGGTGACTGGGAGCAAGCCCTGCCTGGTCCTGCCAGACCTGATTCCTTCCCTCTGCCACCCCCAGAAAGAAACAAGTGCTTTGAGATGTCATCCTTTGTGGAGACCAAGGCTATGGAGCAGCTGACCAAGAGTCCCTTGGAATTCGTGGAGTATCCTCCCTAGCCATTAGGGTCTGGGAATGGGGCTGGGGTGGGTCCTGGCAGGACCTTGCAGGAGCCTCAGGGGTCTGGGCCTATGGAAGCCACCTCCAAGGGGGCCTTAGTGGGCTAATATGTGGAGAAGTGGGATTCTAGGTACTTGGAGAAAGCCGATGGAGGATAGAGACTGGCAGAGGGCGGGCACTGGTTCTCATATGGCCTTGACCACCAACCTCAGATACAACAAGCAGCAACTCAGCCGCATTTACCCCAAGGGTACCCGTGTGGACTCCTCCAACTACATGCCCCAGCTCTTTTGGAATGTGGGCTGCCAGTTAGTCGCACTCAACTTCCAGACCCTGGGTGAGCCCTGGCCCTCTTGGTTTTTGTTTTTTTGAGAGAGGTCTCACTATGTAGCACTGACTGACCTGGAACTTGCTGTGTGTACCAGGCTGGTCTCCAACTCACAGATTCTGCCTGCCTCTGCTTTTTGAGTGCTGGGATTAAAAGCATGTGTTATTATGCCTGGCCCTGGCCCTCCTTGACCCTGACCCCCGATGCCCATCTTACTGACTTCTGATTTTATCTAAGCCTAGATCCCCAAACTGAATCCAAGCTTTGTCCCCAGCCCTAATGTTGGTCAACTCTGTAGACCCCTTACAGGTCTGATTGCTCCTGAATCTTGATCCCCCTCCACCGTTGGTCCTGGACCTTGAACTCTGACTGCTCCCCACACCCCCACCCAGTAGGACAGCCAACTGACCCTCACCCTACCCCATGCCCACAGATTTACCAATGCAGCTCAATGCAGGCGTCTTTGAGTACAATGGGCGCAGTGGGTACTTGCTCAAGCCTGAGTTCATGCGGCGGCCGGATAAGTCCTTTGACCCCTTCACAGAGGTCATTGTGGATGGCATTGTGGCCAACGCCTTGCGGGTCAAGGTAAGCTCAGGGAAGTTCAGGTCCCTGAAGGTTTGGGCCCAGGGTCTGCTGGTGCACACATAGCAGCTGTCTGACCCTCCTTGGTCTTCCCATCCCAGGTGATCTCGGGGCAGTTCCTGTCTGACAGGAAGGTGGGCATCTATGTGGAGGTGGACATGTTCGGTCTCCCCGTTGACACAAGGCGCAAATACCGAACTCGGACATCTCAAGGGAATTCCTTCAACCCTGTGTGGGATGAGGAGCCCTTTGACTTCCCCAAGGTGAGCCCTCCTATCCTGTGGCAGGCAGACCTGCCTTGGCTCTTAGACCAGGGAGCAGGGGTCAGTGTGCAGAAAGTAGGGAGGGCCAGGTGTGGTAATGTACAACTTTTAACCCCAGCACTCAGGAGGCAGAGGCAGGCAGATCTCTGTGAGATGGAGGCTAGCCTGGTCTACATAACAAGGTCCTGCATGTCCCAGGTCAGGCTTGAGTTCCTTGCCCTCTTCAGGGTGACAGAAGGAGGTAAAGGGGCTGAAGGGTAGGAATGACAGTGCGCTTCAAATCTCGTGTCATCCCTGTCCTGTGCCTGTACGAGGAGCAGACCCAGCCTGGCTCATCTCTGAGGCAGGAAGTATTTGGCAGAGATCACAGCCCTAAGCTCACAAGCTCACACCCCCCTCACTGGTTCCCCACTCAAATGTGGCCTCTAACCTGACCCTGGTGAGGCATGTCCTGAATTTCAGACACATGGCTCACTCTAGTTGCTAAGCAGGTCATGACATGACCTGTCCTGTCCTGTGATGGCCCTGAGGGCTTCTGGCTGCCTGTACTCTTGACTCAGGACTCTGATGGTCACTGGTCATCTCTTGGGCCAGGCTTCTGTGCAAGGGTGAAGCCTTGGTGGCTGTGGCTCTACCCCATGGCTCAGCAGTCTGGGTCCCACAGGTGGTGCTACCCACACTGGCTTCGCTTCGCATTGCAGCCTTTGAGGAAGGTGGCAGATTTGTTGGGCACCGAATTCTCCCTGTCTTTGCCATCCGCTCAGGTGAGGCCGTGGGCTGTGGGCAGCACCGGGTAGGTGGAGGACTCAGCTAGACCTAGCTGACCTTGCCATTCTGCCTAACCAGGATACCACTATGTTTGCCTGAGAAATGAGGCCAACCAGCCACTCTGCCTGCCAGCCCTGCTCATCTACACTGAGGCCTCTGATTACATTCCAGATGACCACCAGGGTAAGAAGTGGTAGGCCAGGATGGGGCCCCGGAGGGTGGGGGCCAGGCTGCCACCCGGACTTGGGCATTGTTGAATCTGGTGGCCCCAGTTCAAGTGGTAGACAGCCCCAGGGACAGGCTCCCCAGCCTTGGAGCCCTGCACTGGCAGGAAGGGTCTGGCCCGGGGTTTGGTCTGAGGACCTGGCCTTCTGCTTCCCCTAGACTATGCTGAGGCCCTGATCAACCCCATCAAGCATGTCAGCCTGATGGACCAGCGCGCCAAGCAACTGGCTGCCCTCATTGGGGAGAGTGAGGTGAGTGGGCACCGATGGAGGTGGGCAGGGCAAAGACCAGTGGACAGCTATGGGTCCCTCATCTCTCAGCCCCCTCTGAGTTCTCTCTCCAAGCTAGGCTCTTCGTGTCTTACTGCACACCTCAGCTTGATGTCCCACCAGCCTAGTCCTGTGCTTGGAGAACCTGCTCCCCTTTCTGGGTTGTTCTGTCTCATTCAAACCAGAAAATGAAGTCAAGTAGCTGTTGTGTGAGCTTGGTCACCTCCTTGGCTCACTGCCATGCTCATAAAGATGGGACACTGAGGCTATGGGAGGTGGCTTAGTTCAGACAGCCTGGCTAGGCTTCCAGCTCATCCCTCAGTGCTGGGCCTTTTTGTCACATTGCACTGGGCAGGGGCTTTAGATGGTCTGTAGCAAGCCTGATGCTGTAGGGTTTTCTCTCTCTCTCTTTTTTTTTTTTTTTTTTTTTTTTTTTTTTGTCTTTTTGAGACAAGGTGTTCCTGTAGCCCCAGCTGGCCTGGAACTCATTATGTAGACCAGGCTGGTCTTGAACTCACTGAGATCCACCTGCCTCTGCCTCCCAAGTGCTGGGATTAAAGGTGTGTGCCGCCACATCCGGCCTTAGGTGTCTCCTTTTATGTGTGAACGTGTTTGTGTGTGTATGTATATGTTTGTATATGTGTATGTTTGTGTATACGTGTGCATGTGTTTGTGTGTACATATGTGGGAATCTGTGTGCATATGCATTTGTGTGTTGCATGTCTGTGTTTGGGGTATGTGTGCATGTGTTTGTGTATTGCATGTATTTATGTGTGTGCACATGTGTGTGATATTTTCCTGAGTTGCAGCATGCACATTTTTTGAGACAGGGTCTCCCATTGACCCTAGAGCTCACTGACTAGCCAGTGACTCACTCAGGTGAACTCCAGGGATTTGCCTGTGTTTGTCCTCCCTGGGGTTATAAGCATGTGGGGACCTAATCTCAGGTCCTTATGCTTGTATAACAAGTACTTTCCAGGCTGAGCCAGCTCCCAGCACCCTCCCCCCATTTTTTTCCTCAATGCTGGGCTTGAACCAGGGTCTTAAGCAGGTCAGGTAAATGCTGTAGCCACTGAGCTACACCCTTGGCTCAGCTACAGGGTCTTGAGTGAGGAAGCACCTATTTGCTTCGGGTTGGACCTGCTCTGGAGCAGCTCCAAGTGGGGTCAAAACTTGGGATATAGGGTTTCTGTTCCCACCGGAGCAGTTGGAGGCCAGGGAAGCCATAAGGAGGCAGTGGCTTTGGTGGGGAGGCGCCAGGAGCAGAGGTTCAGCCGCATGTCCTGACTGGGTCCCTGTGGGGCCTGTGGTGGCCGGGGAAGAGATGACTGCAATTAGGGCTGTGAGGAGCTGTTAGTAGAGAGACTGGTGCCTGCTTTGCGGTCACTTCCTTCTTTGATTAAATCAGGAGCTGAGCATCCAGGAGGAAGACAAGCCACTGGGAAAGGGCGGAGGGACATGGAGAGAGAGCTCTTGGGGCTGGGCCAGGCCTTTCCAGAATCATCTGGGAGTTGCTGAAAACAGGCAGTGAACTGCCATCACATGGCATGTGTTGCAGGGGTGGACAGGGGCTTAGGGGTGCCTGTTGTGCACCTCTTCATTGTGCAGGTGTTCAGATAGCCCAGCAAGCTGAGGGAGCTGGCAGGGGCGTGGAGCACCCAGAGAGATGGAGCATTTCTAGAGAATTTTCTCCGCTGCAGGCTCAGGCCAGTACAGAGACATGTCAGGAGACCCAGTCTCAGCAGCTGGGGTCACAGCCGCCCCCTAACCCCACTCCGAACTCACTGGATGCCTCCCCTCGGCGGCCCCCAGGCCCTGCCACCTCCCCCACCAGCACCTCCCTCAGCAGCCCAGGTAAGGAGCAGCCTGTGCTGGGGGTGGGCTGAGGGGAGCTCTCCATTCACCAACGCCCAGCTTTTCACCACTGCCTCTGCTTTCCAGGGCAACGAGACGACCTGATCGCCAGCATCCTTTCAGGTAGGAGGATGGTCTCTGATCTGGGGTGGGGCCACCTCGAGAGCCTCTTCCCCACCCAGCCCAGCCATCTCACCTGCTCCACTCCCCCCTCCTTCCTTTGCTCCATCTTTCAGAGGTGATTCCTACCCCCCTGGAGGAACTCCGAAGCCACAAAGCTCTGGTAAAGCTCCGGAGCCGTCAGGAGCGAGACCTTCGGGAACTGCATAAGAAACATCAGCGGAAGGCTGTGGCCCTCACTCGCCGTCTACTGGATGGCCTGGCCCAGGCCAGGGCTGAGAGCAGGTGCTGGCCCTCACCCTTTGCCCCATAAGTGCCCCACAGCCTGGGGCTATGAGTGTGTGCTGACAGTGATGTTGGAGGGCCCGTGTAGATGCAGGTCTCCATGCTGGGTGGGCATGCTCAGATGGCAGGGGGCAAGGAAAATAGAGGCAACTTCTACTCTGTGTCCTCCTCCCTTGGGAGTAACCCCGCTTCTGAAGTCTCCCTGCCCAGAAGCAGGCACCCATCTTCTGTGTGGAGCTAACGGTGCAGCTGCAGGCCCCTGCCGGGCCTCCTAGTTTGCATAGCCCTCACCTGGCTGGTGCCTGCCATAGCCTGCTCGCATGTGCCCTGCCCTAACTGTCCTCTCATGCCAGGGACTGGCAACTAAGAAGGTTCTCCCCATAGGGGCAGGGCTGCTGATGTGGAGAACATGAAAGAGGAAGAGGAGGAGGCCAGACAGTATCGAGAGCTCCAGAAACGGCAGGTGCAGAGCCTCTTGGAGCTGAGGGAAGCTCAAGCAGATGCAGAGACTGAGCGGAGGCTGGAATACCTGAGACAGGTGAGCTAGGCATGCAGGAAGAGCTGACCTCCTGGGTAGACCTGTCATTGCCCTGTGTTACCTGCTGGCTGTCTGTGTCCTCAGGCTCAGCAGCGGCTCAGGGAGGTTGTTCTGGATGCTCATGCCACACAATTCAAGAGGCTGAAGGAAATGAATGAAAGGTAAAGATAGAGGAGCTCATGTGGATGGGGTGGGGATCTGGTGCCAGGACAGGACTCTATAGTCCTGCCTCTGACCCCTCTAGGGAGAAGAAGGAGCTGCAGAAGATTCTGGATAGGAAACGCCACAACAGTATCTCAGAGGCCAAGACTAGGGAGAAACATAAGAAGGAGGCGTAAGCATGTTGGGGCCCAGAGCCACTGGATGCTGGGGGAGGCAGGGCAGGGCGTCCAGGCCCTGAGCCATCCTTTGCTTCTGCAGGGAACTGACAGAAATTAATCGACGGCACATCACCGAGTCAGTCAACTCCATCAGACGGGTGAGCCCCTCTCTATGCCTTCACTCCACAAACCCAGCTCCTTCATGCCTGGCTTAGTGCCGCATGGATCTCCAAGGGCTCCTAATCCTTCCCCCGCCCCCGTACCATGCCAGCAGTCCCCAGTGCCTGCATCATATCCAACACCTTTGTGTCTTTACTCCCCCCTCGCCCCCCAGCTACTCTACCCCAATTTCTGTGCCCCAGGGCCCTGGCTCTTCCTTGGTTGAATTCTTGTCCTTTCTCACAGCTGGAGGAGGCCCAGAAGCAACGACATGACCGCCTGGTGGCAGGGCAGCAGCAGGTCCTTCAGCAGCTGATGGAAGAGGAGCCCAAGGTGAGGCTGTGGAGGTGGATGGGCAGAAGGGACGGGAGCCGGCCAGCATGGCCCCTATGGGACACCGTCCTTTTCTGCAGCTGCTGGCCCAGCTGACCCAGGAGTGTCAGGAACAGCGGGTGAGGCTACCCCAGGAGATCCGACGGTGCCTGCTGGGCGAGACGACGGAGGGGCTACAGGATGGGTCCCTGGTGGCCTGTGCCAGCAATGGTCACGCGCCCCGGAGTAGTGGGCATCTGTCTGGCGCCGACTTGGAGAGCCAGGAGGAGAACACCCAACTCTGAACTGGCTGAGCAAGAGGTGGCCACGGGGCCAGGGTGGGCACTGGGCAGCGGGTAGAAGACACTAATGCTTTGGGTTTTTTTTTTGTCTTTTTGAGACAGGGTCTCCCTGTAGCCCCAGCTGTCCTGGAACT